GATGGGGATAGCCACAGGAGACTCTTGCACTACCTGCCTACCTCTCCCACCTTTTCTGGCAGTAACCCATCTAACTGACTGTATCTTCAGTTTATCTCCCTTCCTGAAACTATCATCCATCACACCCACCTAGCTTCTGTAAATTCCTCATTGCCCCTAACAGCTGCTCGATTCCATCCATACGAGCCAAACACACTTCCTGCAGACATAATCTCCCGGGACATTGAAAATCTCTTTGATCTTCCACATCCAACAGGGAGAGCACATCACTCTACTAAAAGCCATCTCTGCCCATTTAACAATCTACAGACCCAGAAAATACCTAAAAACAAACACAACACACTTTGCTCGAAACTCAGCATTAGCACAGCCTTACTACCCAAAACATTGCTCTAGGCTAACAATACCTGCCCTTTATATTAAAATTCAATCAAAAGACAGATCTCAGTAAAACATAAACAAAAAAAATCCCTCACTCCACTCACCATAATAGATTTACACTGAAAAAAAACAAATTAAGATTTATGTTTTTTTAAGTCTTAAAATCAAACACATAGCTGACCAGGGGCTCTGAAATCATCACTGATCTCTCCCAGCTACAATAAGCAATTGCGATATTAGGTCTCCCAATGTCAGCTGTGATAAAATGTAAAGAATGTTGGAAATGAAAAAAATATTAATTCTTTTATAAATCACATAATGAATGAACTAAATTGTCAGAGCATCGAAGCTGATAATGAACTGTCACTATTATCCTTGTTGAAATTCTAAATTTCTATCACTTTCAATGTCAATAGTTTTCAACCTGAGATTAAATTCATTGGCTTTCTGATGAAGGGTCTAGGCCCGAAACGTCAGCCTCTCTGCTCCTATGATGCTGCTTGGCCTGCTGTGTTCATCCAGCCCTGCACCTTGTTGTCATTAAATTCATTGGGTCTGAATGTTTGTTAGTCTCTTGGGCACTTTTTCCACTTTATTTTTAAGCAATGAGCATAGTCAATTCAACTTGAAAGGATACTAGATGATGTTATGCTTTTAGCTTTATGTTTTTATGTGTCTCCTTTTTAGCATAATTTGTGACAGACACTGTTTTCTACAAAAGAAGATACACATGCTAATTGTTTCTGTAGTATCAGCATGCTGCTCAATAAACTACCTAACCTGACTCAAATGCTTATTGATTCTTAAGAAAGAGCTTGACCTCACTTGTCCCATATTGTCATAGTGTGAGAGGGATTGAGAATTTGGGAGGCAATTATGACAGAGAATAACTTCCACCTTTACTGTTCCAAGTGAAATTAATGCTTCTTCCAGCTCATGTATATATATCAATTCAATCAGCTCAAAAATCACCTATTTTCTTGTTCACTAACTTTATTGGCTAGTATTTCAATTAACCTTTTAGCATCTAAACAAGTATGGTATTGGACAATATAATGGGATCTAATCAGACAATGCACCTCAATACTTTATTTGATGTCAGTATACTACCACAGACTGGCAGCATTGAATGGTATTTTTCACATTCTGAATTTTGCCCAATAAGAGACTCATCTTATCAATCTTGGAAGCATCTGGCTGATACTTGTCATATGCAGAACATGAGCAAGAAACTTAAAGAAAGGGATTTCCTCTTGAGCAATATCCTGCTTAACATAAAGCAGTACACATATGTTTAAAGTCTCACCTCATATGATGCCATTTCCAGTTTATTTCTTATTGCAGCACTTCATTGCATTCTCAAAGTGGTTGCTTGAAATATGAAATCTGTTTCCCCTTTTTTACAGTTCATGAATGCACAAACTATTTCTGCAGAACTATTCTGCTCTTGTAATTTTATGTCTTTAGCTCTTTCAGTGAAGGTAGTACAATATGATGACACAGATACTTTAGTACAATCAGATGCATCACACAATGAACTGTAATTCTCGTATACACCTAGTTGTCGAATAATTGTTTATAGCAATTGTCACCACCAAGACTAACCCTATCCCCACCAAATGGTCATTGCTGCTAGCAAGATGGACCACAATTGAAATCTGTTCCTCTTGACATGTCTTGAATTTGGCCACATTATCGCTCAATGTGAAATGTGTAGCTTCAATTGAATTTTGAATCTCCTTTTCATCACTATGACTGTTGATTTCCACCGTTCTGACTTGGAGCTATACCTTATTCCTTCATTGTGCTGGTCAAAATCATGGGGTTTTGAGTACAAGAGTTGGGAGGTCTTACTGCAACTGAACAAGGTACTGGTGAGACCACATTAGAAGTACTGTGAGCAGTTTTGGCCCCCTTATTTAAGAAAGGATATTATTTCATTGGAGGCAATTCAGAGAAGATTAACTAGGATGATATAGAGGGATTATCTTATGAGCGAAAATTAAACAGATTGGGACTCTATTCCTTGCAGTTTAGAAGAATGAAATGTGATCTCATTGAGATATATAGGAATCTTAATGGGCTTGACAAGGTAAATGCTGAAAGGATGTTTCCCCTCATGAGAGAGTCTAAGAGCGGAAGGCATAGCCTAAGAATAAAGGGGCACCAATTTAAGAATGAGATGAGGAGGAATTTCTTCTCTCAGAAGAGATTCTCAATAGTGGCACGAGGTGAAGTGAATCCCGGTACAGTGCGACTTACCTTGTTGCTGCAAAGTGCTGGTGAAGACCGGCCTGGAGGCTGGAGCGATGCAGGACAGTTGCTAGACTTTGGTCTGGCACCATGTGCTGAGCTGCTGCTGTTTGGAACTCTTTATCAGGCTGTTCACAATGTTATAACTATCTCATTCCTAACTCATTCTCAGTCACTGTAAGCGATGCTTATGCTTTCCTTTTAATCCTCTTTTGTATAACGACACTATTTTTTACTCTGTAAGACTTGTACCTGGGTACTTGTATCCAAGATGGCGCCATTAAAAGGCAGCCATTATAAAAACCTTTCACTGTACTCCTACACTTCTGTACTGGAGTACAAGTGACAATAAACAATATTCTATTGTAAGTCTTTGCAACTCCTTGCCACAGAGAGCTGTGGGGCCAGAATCCTTGTGTAAATTCAAGGCTGAGAAGGTAAGATAATTGATCAGTGGGGAAATCAAGGCTGTAGGGAAAGGGCAGAAAAGTGGAAGTGAGGAGTATCAGATCAGCTATGATCTAATTGAATGGCAGAGCAGGCTCAAGGGGCATAAATAGCCTAATCCTGTTCCTGTTTCCTCTGGTCATGTGAACTCACTTCCTAATAGCTCTGTGAATGTACATACAACCCAAAGACTGCAAGAAGGTTCAAGAAGGTAGCTCACCATCATCTTCTCCAGGCCAGTTAGAGGTGGATGATAAATGCTGACTTAGCCAGTGATGTCTGCATTCCTTGAATCAATGAAAAAAAGTGAACTGTAGCTTGTATGGAACCACACTGTGAAAATAATGGAAACTCCAGGCAATGAATAATGATCTAAGGCCTTAATGAAAAAACTTCACTCAATCTGTCATATTTAACATGATTCCTTAATCTGTGAGCTGAGAGTGTTTTACAGTCATTTATTCATCACAAAAGGAGGAACAAGGTGAAAAAATATGAAAATAATATAAAACTCAAATTATTATTCATTTTCACACTGCTAGATCTTTTTACATATATAGCTGATTTCCATTTTACACATGAATGTACAGTATCTGTATTTCATGTCATTGTCACTGTTTGCTAGATTAACTTTCTTTGAATTTCAAGAAGTAATATTAGCATGCAAATAAGTTTTATTAAGGTTTTATATGTCCATTGCTTTATTTTTAACTTGTCCATTAATCTTAGCATTGTTTCACTTCTCCTTCTTTGGCTGAATAATGTATATTTTAAACAAACCTTTCAAAGGATATTTTTTTTGTCACATGGTTGTTGCAATGTCAGCCTTTATTATCCGCACTTAGTTCTCTAGATAGCCTATATGGGGGGCATGGTGGTTCAGTGCTTAGCACAGCTGCCTCACAGCACCAGGGACCCAGGTTCATTCCAGCCTTGGGTGGCTGTCTGTGTGGAATTTGCATGTTATCTGTGTGGATTTCTGCAAAGTTCTCCGGTTTCCTCCCATAGTCCAAAGATTTGCAGGTTAGATGGATTGGCCAGGCTAACTTGTCTGTAGTGCTTAGGGATGTGTAGGCTAAATGGATCAGCCATTGTAAATATGGGGATGCAGTAGGAGGCTGGATGGGATGCTCTTTGGAGGGTTGGTGTGGAATTGATGGGCCAAGTGGCCCCCTCCCACACTGGAGGGGTTCTATTATTCTAGACAGAGAGGCAGTTGCCCTTCTGCTTGAATCACTGTGGTTTATGTGTTGCATCTTTGTAGTGGTTTCATATAACTGAGTGGCTGGCTAGTTCACTTCAAAAAGCTACCTACTACATTGATGTGGGACTAACGTTACATATTAGTAGATTTCCTTCTTTCAATGAGATGCGTGTTGAACAAGTATTCCATTTTGTCTGCTGTCAATGCATCTTGGAATGAATATATTGACCTTTAAAGAAGTGCAGTGGAAATTAATCAGTACTTACCAGTGCTCCAATGGCTGGATTATGAAGGTTGCACAAACTCGGCTTGTATTTTCAGGAGTACTGGAAATTAGAGGATGATTTAATCGAAGGTTTTTGGGATTCTGAAAGTAATTGACAGAGGAGATGCTAATAAACATTCCATTCTGATGGCCTAATCTTAACCTCAAAATTGGAATTAGATAATTCATGAGAAAATTAGGAAACATTTCTAGGAAACAAAGAATGGTAGAAGTGCGGAATTCTCTTCCACAAAAAACAGTGGATGCTAACTTAATTAATGATTATAAATTTGAGATGCATATATCATCGCTAGACAAGAATATGGAGTTAAGTTACCTCTCTGAATTGTGGAAGAGCTCAGATGAATGGCCAGCTCCTGTTCCTATGCTCCTAAAACATTGCAAGGAAATTCATGTGACCTTTAACTACACGTTCTGTTTTGTGTTTAGCCATAATTGCGCTGAGGTTTATCCCACATTTCTTGCTTTACTGTGGACTGCTGGAATTTTCTGTAGTCAAGGTAAGTTTACATCTAAAGAATTTGCTTGTGAAATGAAAATTTGTATATCTTTAGTTATGTTATTTAAATTTTTTCAACCAATATTCACTCACGTGTTTCTGATGTGTTTTATAGATAATTTGGGGCATTTTGAGACTGAGTTGGAACCATAGAAAAATTTGTGCTGCAAGCAGAACACATACCCTAATCCTCCATCCTTGTCTCTGTTATAAGTCCAACAAATAAACAGCTTTGAATAACAAGTCCAGCTTAACCTCTTTCTGTAAATCATAGAATCTCTATGTTGTGGGGACAGGCCCTTCGGCCCAACAAGTCCACACTGATCTACAGAGCATCCCACCCAGACCCATCCCCCTATAACCCAACTAAACTAAACATCCCTACACACTATGAGCAATTTAGCATATCCACATAGCCTGCACATCTTTGGACTGTGGGAGGAAACTAGACCACCCAGAGGAAACCCACGCAGACATGGGGAAAACATGCAAACTCCACACAGACAGTTGCCCAAAGGTGGAATCAAACCTGGGTCTCTAGCGCTGTGAGGCAGCAGTGCCAACCACTGAACCACCGTGCCGCCCTACCTTGTAACTTCAACAGTATGACACACTGGTCTTAGACCAACATTTTTCCAAAAATACATTTCATTCATAATTTTTCCAAATTGTTTCATAACGGTTCAAATTTGGCAATACACGAAGTGTCATGCAGATCAGTTTATTTCATTACAGAATATGAGGTGCCTCATCACACCTGACATTACAGTTTATATTTACAATGTAAATTTATATTTCTCATTCAACATTCTCTGGTGAATATAGCCTAAGGGGTTTTACATTGTATATCAAGGGTTTTGAAACTATGTGTACGAGAGCCATAGACAGCGGCCTTTCCCCATTGAGCCTTTGCAGTACCTGGCAAAGCTTAAGAATGTCCCTTATCACAGAGTGCTGGAGCTTGGAATGTGCCAGGTCATCAAAAACTCTTTGTGCTGGAAGATTATAAAATTTTGGACAGATCAAAGAGCATCTTTCAATGAGTTGATAGTCCTCCAGTGTTGATGTTTGTCTCATTCTGTGTCCCTGGGACCAGCCCACTGAGTGTAAAGTCCTACATTATAGGATACTCCAAATGAGCTTTGATTAAAAAAAACATTGTGTCTCTTTAAAGACCTGTTTTGCAATTGTGCAATCGAGAAGGAAGTGGGTGGCGATTTCTTCCCCATTAAAACTGCCTGAAGGGTAGGATGCATCAGCACTCAGACTCTGGATCGGACCCAAGGGCCCTTCTCAATGCAAGACAAGCTACATCTTGATGGTTGTTTAAATATCCTGGTATTGACGCATTCTTCCAAGTGAATTTGACAGTTTGCTTAGGGAATAATCCAACAGGATTCACACTTTGTTTTTCCACAGGCCCTTCAGAAAGCTACATGCAGACCATTGCATTTGTGGTCAGTGGTGTTTTTCTGTACAATCCTTTCCTTGAGGGACCAGATGAATGTCATGATGTGAATGATTGAGCCTCCTGTGGCAATGAAGCTGAACCCATCCTTCACAACACTGAGATGATTAAACCTCACTGCTTAGCAACACTTTTGAGGTTTATTCACTCATAGCTTTAGGTTATTGTGATTATGAGATCATGGTTTGCTGTTTTGCTTTAAATAATATTGCTCTGTGATTTCACTTTTGTTAGCTCCCGCAGCCTTCGCTGGATTGTTGTATTTGGTGGTGAGGCACAAATACTTCGTGGGTTATTTAGGAGAGAACAGTCAAAGGTAACAGTTCTTCGTACTGTAAGCATTTTTAAAATTATTAGTCTGTATCTTCAGGTCTCATTAATATTAACCACGAGATGTCTTGCCATTGTGGTTAATATTTCAATTAAACCTTTAAGATAAGCGATGAATTGTTGAGCTAATTGGGTGAAAGTAAAGATGTTGATGGTGTGAAATCAAAAAATATTTTTCAGTTGTATTACTTATTGTTAATATCAGCTATGGTTCATCAAGTAGCCAGTTCTTGGGGAATAAATAAAATCTTTGTCTTGAGCAACACACAACCTCAGAAAAGCCTATCTGCCTGCACAACCAGGTAGCCTCATGTGGATGCTTCTGGAGAACATAATATTGGATAAAACTATCCATCCAGCCTGCTTAGCAAGCTGCCTGTGAACACTGGCTCAGCACTTGCAGCTCACCTTTCAAAGTCAGATGGCACTTTTATTCAAAAAAATAGCTCATATGGAGAAGATCAGTCAAACTTCACAATCGTGTAGCAAACTCATTCTTCCAAGTTTGCAGTGTAGTAATTCAACATTGTCCTGTAGCTCTTATCTTATTTTGAAACAATTTCCTCTTTCATCTAGCTGCCTGAATGTCTAGTATTATTTCCACATCAGTAGAGTGAACATTGTGGTTTTTACTTCCTTTTAAAAACTACCAGATCATCTTCTACATTTAAATTTGTTGTTTTTTAATAGTTAATCCTACTTTAGATTTTGAAAATGCTTCAGTGATCATTTATTCAGGTGACTGTGTCATGTTAGAGGTGCTATCTTTGAATCACCAATTTGAGGAGCTGGAAAATAAACTTGAGCCGAATGTAAAATGGCATTTGATCAGATCTCATCACTTCCTTGAATAAGGGGACTGAAAAATATATTTAATTGTGTACAACTCAGACTTGCCATGATCCTACCTGCTTTGAGGAAATACAAATAAGAAGAAAGTTTGAAAAATTATTGAGACAACAAGGTGCAGGGCTGGATGAACACAGCAGGCCAAGCAGCATCATAGGAGCAGAGAGGCTGACGTTTCGGGCCTAGAAGGGTCTAGGCCCGAAACATCAGCCT